CTTCCTTCCTTCCTTCCTTCCTTGGTCATCATTAGCCGTACACACTCTTCAGGAAAATCGCACTTGGTTTCGAAATTCCACCGGCGAACCTTGTAGCAGCATCGAGCCTGGCGTCATCCCGTTCTATCACATTGCTCGGTACCTCTTTCAGTTTTGCAATGGCTATCCTAACTCATGGAGAGCGTTGTGTGTTTCCCTACAATAGTGCGGTAGACTCTAACGATACTTTAAACATGTTTCCTTTAAAATAAAAAAAAAGAACATAAAAACATTTTTCTATTAATACCTTGTTTCCTACTTGAGGACTACACAAGGTTTGCAACTGTAACGGTAGGACCAGAAGAAATAAAGTAGCCAATAAATCTAACGATATGGTAACACACAATCTGTATCGGTACTCGACAATGACATCTGACCAACAGCTGATAGCGATAGTTTTTGACAAACTGATCGACAAACATGTGATGACACGTAACTGGTGCGGCAACGTAGATTTCGCCGTTACTGAGAAAATTCTCTGAGTAAATATTGACTAGATATCTTCCGCTATCGGCGTCGTACTGATAGGTAGAGGTACGCTGCCTACGGCGACAGGAGGGCTTCGTAAAGATAAAGAAGAAGACCTGTACACATCTTTTTTACTCGCTTCTTTCTGGGGGTGACAAACCATATACTAGTGACGTTATGATTCAGTAGAAAGAACTATTGATCGAACGAATAATGAAGCTTTTTTTTCTAGCAGTTCTCTTTGAAAATCGATATTGGCTGTGTTCGGGTATTGGAAGCATCAAAGGTGTTAAAAGCTGAGACTCGTTTCTCATTTGTAGACCCAATAGAAGAGAGCATCGTATCTGAAGTCAAGCGGACAAGCCTGATATGTGTAAATAATCATCAACTGTATCGGCCTGGAAGAATCGATGGATTGTTGCGTTCGATTTATTCCCCGGCCAGAAACGTGATTTTATCCTCTAAAAGCTGCCACGTTAACCAATCCAAAATCTTCATTGGAGAAGATAAATGATGCCTGCATTGAAATTCAGCTAATACAACATTGGCTTACTGAAAAGCTAATCTGCATTATATCTACTTGAATTTGTTCTCACTTCACCTACTAAAGCTAGATAACAGGAGAGCCTCGCCTCGTTGATTTATTTATTACCAATAGAAGGAAAATGAGAAGCATTTTTCAGCCGTTCGAAGGTCTATAAGTATTTATAAAAGAGGGAAACAAAAAACAAAATTGAACAAAACGTAGCAAAATCTGCGAATGGAACAGTATTTCATGTCCGTTTAACTGTTGAATGACTCTGTTTTGATTGGCTGGTATCACCGCTGGACTGTCTGCGGCGAAAGCTCTTCCCAGATGACAAAATCGCGTGGGAGACTCCCAAACGTTCCCATGAACAATGCTCCTCTGCCGGCGGTTCATAGCCCAGGGCGCTCGTACGCACTGGTAACAATAGCAGCGCGCCTTCTGCGGTCTCACGGCAGTGCTAAATTACTCCCATTTGTAGAGCACTGAAAGACAGCGTGGCAGTTAATTCCTATCGAATCAGGAATCATCCAGGGATGTCATCAATACATTCTAACTTTATAGATCTGTAGATTCTATAATAATTTGTGGTAACTAACAACCAGGAAACAATCGCTGCTTGTTGGAAGGATCGTGTTTTAAAAGCGCAACAAAAGAGTATGGGATGGTAACTAATAACTAGACAGTGTTTGCGCTTCCCACGCATTTTGTAAAAATCTTTTGCGTTGCAAGCCTATGTTTCTCACAAGAAAAGTTAGCTAAAAACATGGGTGGGATGCCGTAAAATTGTTCAACAATAATAACAGTAATAATAGACATTTGATTGATAAAATTTGAATGTTATATTTTACAATAGGCTATTGTAGGTAATGATCTGTAATATATTGAGAACGTACTAAGCTAATGCGCAAGGTATTATTTAAAGCGATCAAAATTCCGGCGATTGCGTTACCGATATAATCTCGTACCAATATTACAAACTAGAGTCATATATCTTATATGTCCTCAAAGTAAAACGAAAACTTGGACGCAAAGAAATTCAGTTACTTTTGATCAAAGTTCCAAATGTCCCGAAGACTTTCAGCTCACGTAACGCTTCAGTCATTGGTCCCATATGTATGTATGTCCTCCCTGTGTACGTAATAAACTGCGATATTGTAAATACAAAGGTTACCCTAAAAATTAACTAAATGGCGCACTCGATAGGTCGTTCCTTTCAAAATACTAGCGTAGATCTAAAATGTTTTTGAGATCGTCAACTGTGCCGTACGCTATTCTGGTATTTGGTGTTGCTACTCGAGGTCCATGGCTATGAGTAGGTCTTTTAAGGGAAGCTTCTTCGCTTTTACACGAGTCCTTCTTTCTTACGCCGATTTCGATATCGGCGCGTTTGGTAACGATGTTGAGGCTCGAGAACTTTTCCGGATCCGAGTATCAGTTTATGCTAGGCTCAACACATTCTCGCATCTTTAGCATTTTAGGTTTCAAGGTTCTTTATCTAGCGAGGTAAGACGCAGGGTTGGCCGAGACTTTAGAGATTTCGGTTTTCAACAGACAACACTATTGCTCTGTACACGAATGAGTAAGAGGCCAGATTGCGTATAGAGTCATGCAGACGGAACGCCTTTGATACAAGTCGTTACGGGCCCAAAGTGTAAAGAAACCGAATTGAATGCTGTTTTAGCGTGCTTATGATACCTCTAAAATTGCTGACAACGCTAACAATCACCATAACAAATAAGGAGACCGCGTCGCGGTGAATTCATCACTATATATATATATATTGCAATCTTCCACCAGCTAATTTTATTTTGTAATTAGAGGGACCAATAATATATACAGTTTATACGGGCCGTGTCCCGTATTTGCTTCTTCATCTTTGCTTTCGCTCTTTCTATTCGTGGAACTACTTCTGTAACCGTTAGCGTTAGTGCGCGCAGCCAATACGTTAGAAACGCACGTCAAACTAGCCGCTTGTCAAATGGCTTTTCGTTGATTGAAGTTTACCACCGTGTGTCACCCAACAGGTCAGTATGTAGAGAGCGTTTGTGGAAACGGGGTTAGCTTTAATAAGAATTGGACTAGAATCTAGAAAATTGACTATTTTTTCATTTGGCGAGTAAACAACAATTATTTTTCTTTGTTTGAACCGCACTCTCAGACTGTGCAGCTATTTAGCAAAAAAAAATATAGCGAGTAGCATATATAAAGGTGAGTTTTGGGCCTTTTTAGAGGAAGGGCCTTCAAGTTGCCCACATTCGCTGTCCGTTTAATCTACTTCGTGGCTAATGTTTATGTTGCTGACTTTTAATACGATAATCTGTTATCGTACAACAATTTGTCTGGTTTCATGCGATGGCTATCATTGTCGTTGCTAAAAAAAGCTTTGGCTCCATAGTTATCGGTCGTATAGGCCAATTGTCGCTTTATTCCGCGAACTGTCTTAAGCGACAATAACTATTACCTACAGGTTGATAGATGACAACAACCCCTTTAGAACGTTGTGGAATAGAACTCTGCCCATGGCGTGGAACACAGGAAAACTTTTGTATGGCAGACAGACGCATTGCATGGCGCACATGTTAATGCGTATTAGAAAAAATATATTAGATCCTTGTGTGCGGCCTTTCCGGCCGAGTGGTAATAGATACTGTCTTTATCATTCGAAATTGTTTAGGATTTTCGACACCAGGAGGCAGGATAAATTTATGTGGATTGATAAACTTCGAATAATGTAGCATTTTTATCTGTGGCTACTCACTTAAACCGAAAACACCGCATACATGCACCTATAACAATGTGTCTATGCAGCATACGACCAGAATTGAGCGCTTAATTACGGTGCCGTTTGTTCGCTGACCCAACAGTTAAGGTAGATACGGATATACACCTAAATAATTAAAAATTATCTAATATACCGAATAATGCCTACTCGAATCATTAGCGACTAAACGGGAGAAAATGCGTTAAAATACATCGATCATTCCCTGCTCCTGAAAGCGGGCAGCGACATTCGGGGTACTCCCCACCCCACACCGTAGCACCAAATCAATATCGTTAAATGAAGAGGTCATCATATCAGAACGTGTCCGCCATCCGCCAATTCCTGGGTTTCGTCCTTTCCAGTTATAAATTCCACCAAATGGTACGTATGCTGCGATCGTAAGAGATAATAACGCCTTATTACTACTTGATACGAGACAAAAACAACGAGATCAACTAAGGTATCGATAGTCTGCCAGCGATGCGCTAAACAAAGAACAAAAACTAGCGAATATATATATATATATATATATATATAGAATCGACGACGATGGAGCTACTGCAGTGGTAACCGCGTACGCGGAAGATATTATGCTACAAATAGAAAACAGTAGTCTTCCAGTGCCAACCGTTCGCAACAACGTCTTTGACGTCTGCCTTCCCTATCGGAACTCCCACTATTGACCAAGACAATCTTTACAGCTGCTCCTACTGTGTGGCCTGTCAAACCGTGTTATCTACTGTCGTAGTTGCTATTTGTTAGTGAGCGTTAGGCGCCGTCACTGCAGCAGACATTCGCCTTCCAGCGCCTTCGCAAGCATATCAACCAGCGGCGGCAAAAATGGCGCTATACCGCCTCATCAACATCTCCCATGTTCTAAACGTCTTTCTATATTCACTCACACCATAGATAGTATAAACAATAGAAATCATTGTCAATGTAATACTGGTAGCTGTACGAGCAGCGGGACAAAAAAACAAAGTGGTGCCTACCGTTTTCCTTGTCTCAGCAATGCGACTAGGAACAACGATTCTGTGAGGAACTTTGTGTATCTTATGTACAGCCGAACTCGACGTCGACGAACGTATTGCAAGATTAAGTTAATGCTCGACAAGATGCAGCTAGGGCTAACGAACAACAACGGCAACGACAGCACTTGTAGAACCAGCCCGCCGGCTCCGCCATTGGCCCCTCTGTAAGTAGGGGCCAATAGTGTATACTGAAAAATCTACGTAAGCAAGCAGATGATACAAGTATAGAAATTGTCTGCATATCCCCATGTGTGTCTGTGTGCGTGTTTGAGCTCGGGGATGGCCCAGGCGTGTACTACAATCGTCCACAAACACAATATCGCCATCTACTGCGAGAGAAATTACAGAGATATCTCTATGATTTGGTCCCACATAGGTGGTGCGGTTTTCATTAGGGTTTACTGTGTGGCAGTGAGATACCGTAGTGCTACCAGGGATGAGGGAATAGTTGCGGGAAAGAGGCTCCGGAAACAGCTGATTCCGGGAGACAGACATCATTTGTGTTGTTGTAACTCATATAGCTAAAGTACTCCTTTCGAACCGTAGTTAACAACACAACAATGAGAAGAGCTATATAAGTTTTACAAGTCTTGTTGTTATTATTACAGCAAATCTGGTTGAATTTATTTTTCGAATTTTTGATTTTCCAACTATTATTATTATTACAACTAAGTAAAGTTCATCCCCAGAGGCGTTTGTGGCTGAGATTCGGTGGTCTATAGGAGCTCGGATTGCATTCTTCGGGATCTGAGGATATGTATACGTAGTAAAACGGGATTGACGTTCACGCTGGTCACGGAGGCGACCATCGGACCAGTTGTCGTTGTCGTTGGATCTACCTTTATTCTAGCCATTGGTAAAGCCGATATATCACAGATTAATCGGGAACGCTTCGAGTTAATGAATCTTCTAATCCTTCCTAGACTTCCCCTATCTTTCAGTTTAAACAAGCGACTAAAAATAGACAGACGTCCGATTCCTCAGTCGGAGTCTTTTCGTTTGTATTCTACCAAAATGTTCGTTCGCTTCCTTTTCTTATTCTGATCATTTGTTTGTCTTCTTCTGATTCGAAAGAATGAGCTATAAGCAGTCGTCATTAGAAGAAGCCGTCTCTGACTGTCATCTACATTTCACGGGCTAGTAATTGTTATAACTGCTGATTCAATTACAGCAGACGCATTGGCGGCGGCAAACAACGAATTCGTTGGGGCAATGGCGATCATCTGTGTTTTTGGCCAGGAAAAAGCTCTGGACAAAATTTATTCGGATTAGGACATTGCTGATAGAGAGGTGGTGACTAGCATTTCGGTGCGGACTGTTAATGATGATGGGCCGCTGGGATGCTATACGCTAGATTACTGTGTATGTACGTGCTTATGTATCGTTTCTCTCTGCTGGCACATGCGTAACCAGGACAGTTTGTAAATTATCCATAGCATGTAAACACTTATTATTATAAGAGGTCTTTGATTTACAATGGCTTGCTTACGGAATGTTATATTTGTATCACGCGTAAAGAACTAGTAACAACCGCAACAAGTTGACGATTAGCTAGAATAAAAGTTCATGATACGTTAGCTACCGGTATACAGATAAATGGACCCGTTTGAACGCGCCGTTGAACTTTCACTGCCAAGGAACTGGTAGATCGTGCACCTCTGGACTATTTATAATATAGCCATTAGTCAACAGTTTGTATGATATCCTAATATCTATTTTTGAATCCTATTGTCAAATGTTCGTAGCTAACCACTTAATCACAGAACCGCGGAAGATTAAGACCTTGGACGATAATAAGTCAACAGTAGATCTTCTTACCCCGCGGAAATGCACAGTTAGTCCTGCTATTGTCTAGCGCACTCTACGTCGCGATTCATTTCAATAAAAATGTACTTAGGAATTAATCCCTAGTGTTCGTGATGAGCGAGACGTCGTTCTGTCTTCATGACTAATAGATACGGAATATTTTCGCTTCTCACTAGCCGCCCTGATTACATGCTGTTATTATTACGCCAATGTTTTCTTCCGGTAATTTGTGTCACTCATGTCATAGGTGATGAACCAGAACGCCGTCAACAACGGGCCAAACAATCATTTGTCACAGTGCCCCATTATGAGCTACATCACATCTCAATCGTCACGTAAATTTAGCACTTTTTCTTCCATTTGAATATCAGATCGGATCAGTTATTTTCGTTCATCTGAGAATATAAGTAAAGTATCAATCAATTTGCATAAGCTATCATAGCGTGATCAAATCTCATAGACCCGGTCGAAGATCTTCATGTGGCAGAATCATCTCAATCGTTGTAACATCATAAGAGTGCTTGTTCACATGGCTGAATCCATGCTTTCTCGTTTGCCCTCCTTCTTTCCCGCCTGTTTATTACTAATGGATGCCGGCAATACCTATTCATTTTATTAAAAATTAAAACTCCGAGTTGTCTATTTATTGTGTATCTTTATTTTCCCCTGCTTCATGGTGGCTAGATATTGGTCCGGCAGCTGATATCGTCTTGTTAGTTGACTGCATGGCCAGCTCTAGGATATGGATGCCGGAATAGATCATATCTTGTTTTATTACAGTTGACGGACATTTGCTGCGTTTTAGTAGGATGGCCGACCAGCCATTGGGATAAATGTACTGATTTACCTAGGTAATCATTCACTGATGTTTGCATTAGTTAAATCGAAATTCGTCCTATTAATACCATCAATTTTTCCAACTTGAAAAAAACACCTGCACGAACTTTTTATGTAATCATTCGCACGTATGACCTTCATGACGTCTCATCTTCGACACGTAGTGACTGTATTTAATGCCACGACTTCCGGGTTACATTAATTCGTTTGTGTTTTTTTTTTTTTGAATCATTGCAAATCACTAAATTTGGTATCAAAAGCGTCTTCCAAGCTGTTTGTCTGGAGTCTATCTTTGTCTCTTGCCTTATCGGGTCTCACTAGAATTTCCTTTACTTACCGATAATTCCAGCCATGGCCGGAAGAAGCACGCCGACGGTAACGAGGCAGCGGGTCTTGGCCCGACGTTTTCGTTCTTCACGCATAACCGTCGACTGGGCATCAGCGCCGGCTCCGGCCCTCATTAAGGTGCCTCCTGACCGCCGACTAAAACTGTGCACAGAGGATGCGACGTGAATTGACGCTGCCCGCGGTGGCGGGTTTAAACCGTAGTGGGGTCTGCCATATACACGCCGATCTGTAAATTTATAAACGAAAAGATAGTTTAATCATTCGGTTACCATCTATTTTGACCAATGAAATTAAATGCTATTGTTTAAACATTATTATTTATTACTAATTTATACCATAATATGTAGGTGGACTTCAGAGGATGCCATGTTACAATAGGCACCGGCAAGTCGGTATAATCATCGAAGCGCAAATAGTGTGTGAACCGAAGTGGCTGGCGTCGGTACTTCGCTCCTCTTATTGTCCAACAGAACCCGCACTAGGTGTTATTACCGATTGCGGGCTAGTGATTTGAGTACTTCGTTTACTGTCGCCACCGACACCCTCTTTATGCGTAATGGGGGAAGAGTCGAAAAAAGCCAAATAGGGAAGAAACTGATAGCGCAGTTTAGTCTGCTATAAAAGCAGTGTTCAACTGGATGCAGTATTGTACCGTCATAAAATCCAGGGGAACAATAACTGCACACAATGAGAGCTGCCCGTTGCGGCACAAACGTAACGGTAAAAACAACACGCGGTAACGGAGCGGAATGATACTGGCTAAACAAGTAGAATCGGGATGAATAGGAACAGGGTTTCCAAGGCATATCCGGAGTAACTTTGCGGAGTAAAAACGTGTTCAGAAAAAACAAGAGCGAAAATCCTGTTCACCTATTCCAGCAGATTACCTTGCCAGCAAAAAGATACCGTTCGAGAGACAAGTTCCACCCTACACCCAGTCACACGTTTGTTGTTCGGCTAAACCGCTGTCTTTTCTTTCTATTTTTCTTTATTTTCCTAATCTTCTCCGCTTTTTTGCCTCCCTTGTGCATGCTGTCGTCCAATCAAATCTGAACTAGGAAGCCGATATGATAAAACAAGAAATATGTTGGCCGCCACTGGAAGCCAATAAACAGGCGAACTGCCCAAAGTGCTCGATAGACTTAATAGTGTTCCGATTTTCCGATTTCATTCTGCACTCCGCGCCTTTCTGCTTTGCGCATTGACACTGAATTACGGAAATAAGAAGCGGAAAAATCAGCGGCGGAGCATATCGGGACGAGGATTGAAACTGGGCAGATATAGGGAACGAAGAGGCATGGGAGGCGGAAATGACGAAGGTAAGAGAAAGTGAATGTGAGATGGTAATTGAGTAAGCAACTTGCCCGGGCTATTCAGGTAGGTGGGTTCACGTTCTGGGGTAGCGGCAATGATTCCTCTGAGTAGAGAAAAAAATGGATGAGGAGAAAGGTAGTAGTCGCTCATGCCGCTGTTACTGCTCCCCCGGGCATAAACGGCTAGAGAAGTGAGAAAGCAGTTTAATCAGTCCAACAGCGTTCCTCGCGACTGTTATTGCCTCGAAAACGGTAACAAGCTGATGACAAGTTGGGAAAGCTACTTGCGGTTAGGAGGCATCCCAGTGTCGAGTAGGCACCAGACCTGCTCGATCGTCACGGCTTAACTCTCCTGCACGGGTTTCGCTCTCATTAAATAATCCTGTCTACTAGCGTTTACCAGAGCGTCTCCAGAAAAATCCAAAGTAGGCGACGCACTTTCCCGAAAATCCACCCAACCAGACGAAGCGTTTGTTGAGTAAAAACGACTGTTAATGGTGGGGATGGTAGAAGTGACAGCAATGCCAGATGTGGGTGAAACAGAACAAATGAGGCGGAAATGTAGGCCATGAACGTTAATATATTTATACGTCAAGCGTACACAGTCCAAGTTGCAGGACTCCAAAAACGAACATAGTACTGGCCTGTGCTTCGAGGGGCACAGGACGCAATGTATGTCTGGTGTGGACTGAAGTATGCCTAATAAGGAATTTGCCTAGGTTTTATAATTGTTGACTGTATTCAAATGTACGTGATAGAGTACGACATTTGAAATATGGGGTAGAGGTATAAAATATGTGTATACTTTTGTTATATAGAGCACAAAAACGTGCTCTGCACAAAAACAATTTTTTTAACGTGTTTGGTACGTGATTGCTGTGCTTCACATTCCGTAGATTCGTAGTGGACATTAACTATAGAAAATCAATGCGTGACAGACAGATGGCAACAAAAAATGGCTGAGTGCAACCATCACTTTTGTTGAACCAACAACAATAGTAGATTAATGAAACAAAGCTTACGGTTGCGAATTTAAAATCTACCTTAATTTACTTTTGGTTGTTGTTGCATCGATGATTTTTACTCAAACTCTAATTGATAGGGCTGGAAGATATATAATTCTAAGCGCGATATGTTTCGGTATCTTTCTCTGATCGAAATTCGCGCATGCCTCTTATTTTTATAGACCAGTCCCTATTTCATGAATATTTAAGAACTTCTGTGTCGCAACTGATATCAATAAAAGAACATCAATAGGAAACGGATGGCACCGAGGGCAAACTCTTCGTATATTCGCCATTTCACATAGTGATTCCTAACTGACTCCCATCAATTTGCTGGTAGCGACGGATACCCCGACGCCACTCCGGTATGATGCTGCTTCACAAAGACCGAAAAAATAAGACACCTCTTTGCTTTTGGCAATCTGGGCTTCACTGTTACTTTCGTTGCTTTTTTTTAGGGGTTTTTTCATGCTACATTTTTCATATACTCCAAGGACGTCCAGACACTAATCGCACATTTACGTGTGGAGATTCGGGTTTAGGTTCAAAAAAGAATGGAAGGGAAACGAGGATGATAGAAGCGCGTACCACCCAACGCAACCTAGGCGTCGAAGAGTTACATAAAGATAACAGTTTTAGCGTTGGTAGGAAAACCTGTCCATCAGCACCTTGTAAGGTTCACCATTGTATCACCTTGAATCACTGCAGAACGTGTTTATACAATACCATTACAGTTTACCATAATAGTATGCATTTGAGGTGATCGTCCCTTCGGCGTGAGAGACTGGTTAGGGATCGTTAGCAGCCAAACGTGTGTCACCCGCCCTGGAGTAGCAGGAGCACAAATACAATAGAGTGAGGAACCTGAGTAAGGTGAAAGCCGGCCCAGCAAGACTGCTTCTGTCACATTAGATACTACTTATCCGGTTACTATTCCTAGAAATAGAGATTTGAATAGGGTGTAAAATTCCAGATTGACACTCGTCCTCACGTTTGCCTATATGCCACTAGTCATTGGTGTTGCATGGTTTCCTGCCCCGTTCTTTTGAAACTCAAAGACAGTCGTTTCTATCCTGTCAGTAGCATCACGTTCTCTCACCTAGCCCCTCTGTGTGCGCTTCGAGATCCACCAAGACACCTAAACATGTGTATGCGCATGTCTCGTGTCATACGTATGTAACTACGAGGCTTGCGAATATTCTTCTGCGTTTTCTATCGTTTCTTGCATCCGATTGAATCATATAGATTCAGTGGCTTTCACTCCGTACCCCGAGATGCGTACAAGTAGATATCCACAGGTAATCACATACACTGATCGCAGGTGGATATCATGGTACCGGCAGCTCATATAACCACGATACTAGGTAGATCTTAGCGTGTTGGGCAGTAGTGTGTACAGGCCACTGCACATCCTTGTATGCTGATATGACAATTCACTATCTCACGTTGGAAGCTGGCTAACTTTGGCTAACATTGGTTGTTGCAAACAACGACATGATTAAGAAAGACCGACGACATGCACACGCGAAACAGAAGAAGGCTTGCTCGAGCTTGTCGCTACTCTCGTCATACCTCGAAACGCTTTTAAGGCGTTTCAAGTTCGATAGGCAACGCTAAGCCATATTGGTGTCTCCCCACCTAGAAAACCTTTTACAGTCACATACATATTAAATATATAAACCTAGGGTTCGCGTCCGACTAACAGCTTCAATAGTATAAGACCCCACTGTGAAATAATCAAGGGTCAACTTGAAAATTCGATAATATTCTTACCAGTACCGCTATCATAACCATGAATAGTCTCGCAACATGCCCCTGAACGAGCCACAAACGCTGTGTTTTCCCACCTACAAGTTTTCAAATAGCCCGCGCTCATATCCAGTAATTGGGTCTATTGGATCAGCCCCAGATTGATTGCCACTTGCATTACCCATATATATCTCCAGATTATACGGGCTCCAGTTGGCCAGATTCGATTCAGGATTGAATTTTACCCCTATAGAATTATTCTCTCATTTTCCACTTTTTGCTTTGCCTTGCATTCTGCCTCAAGCGGTACGGACAGTTGGTACCGTCTGCAGGACGGTGTTAGACCGTTTGAAACTAAAACGTTAACTAAGCTAACCTTTGAATATACTGGAGCTGAAAAAGGCAAACGTCAACACTGACGAGTCGCTGAACGAAGGACTTTGCCATCTGGTCCAGCACGAACTCATTCGAGAATGTAGATAGTAGACCGAATTGTAATACATCAACGTTGGTGCCGCCTTACGCGTCAGATATGTGCATTTTACCCTTAAAATAGTAAATCTTATAATTCCCATCAGGTTGAGAATTCGAACACCACGGACTATGGCGGCGTGACGGAACGCGAGAACAGAATACGCAATATCTGTTCGATGAGCTACAGTTGGGGTTATATGACAATCATCATAACAATGTAGACAACAACGTTTCGCCTATCACAGTTTTTTGTCGAGCCCACCTAAGATACGTTAACATACATCTATTCCTGGTAGCTAACAATTCTGCCTGCCTTAGGCGCCAGGCAGAAGGGTCACGATAGTTTAAGGCACCCTATTCACTAACAGCTCCACGATTAGCTCCCACTGAACATCGCAGAACTCTTGAAGCAGTGCATAAAATTCAACACAGGCCAGAACATATTTAAGACATTCATAGCAGCGAACATTTAGAATCATTTGTAGATATTTAGATGTGTGACAGATGATTGCAAGCATAAGCCGCCTTGAAACAACGTGCGCGAGCGCTGCGAAGTAGTATCAGACAGCCTCATCTGGATGCTAAACGGCCCTGTCGTTTATAAAATGGCGCCATCTTACCGTCACCAGCGTTAAGCGTGAGAGGCATTTGTCCAGCGGTCAGATAAAGCAGCGGGTAAAGATGCT